TGTTTTCTAATTTAAGTGGTACGGGTAGGTTTTCGTGGGAAATTCGAGCATGGCACTGCGTCATTACATCGCGTCTGAAAACATAAAGAAGTTGTCCCGGCTACTAGGCTATCGCATGTGAGGATCCTGCAGGTGGCTGATCATTTATAGCTTTTTCTCACAGCAGCCAGAATAATTAAATTTATCATTTTGATGGCGGATTGTAATCCAGAAAGGATTATGTGTTTATGAAACACATGTGAATGAAATTAAATTATATTCCAGTTATAAATGTGCTTCTGATTACAGATAGCCTGGGATTACAAAGATTTGTATTTTAAAGAAAAATATGAGCTAACCGATCTTTAGATTTAATCACCATTGGTAGCGAGATTTATGGTAATGCTTTTTTCCTTAGTTGGTCAGAAAAAACATGGCAGACTTGTTACTTACTTGTTCAGATGGCAATATACGGTGAAAATTCTTATTTGGGTCATATTTCAAGACATAGGCTAGAATCTGTGATTGTGAAGTACAGTGAATATCCACACCAGTGTAGTGACTGACTGCCACACACACACATACTCCTCAAAACATTAGATTCATCCGCGCTGGAGCCGTGCCGACTCACAACCCACGCAAGCTAGATAATTCTGCACACAGCTGCAATTCCAGGTTTTCAAACAGAGATGGCGACAAAGAGGCAAAACTTACGGACTGCAGCTTTAAGCAGCACAACTGTTTTTAACATTGATAATAATAAGAAATGTTTCTTGAGCACCAAAGCAGCATATTAAAATGGATAAGCCTGGAGTAATGGCTTCTGAAAATATAAGGAATATATTACATTTTAAAAATGCTATTCAAAATTGTAATAATGTTTCATAATGTTAGTGTTTTTACTGTAATTTTAATCAAAGAAATGCAACCTTTGTGAGTATTAGAGACTACTTACAAAAACATGTAAAAAAAAAAATTCGACTGACCCTAAATTTTTGAATGGTAATGTACATTATTGGGTCTTGCTCAGGTTTTATGTCTTCTCTCTCAACAAGTTCCCGGAAAGAGAGAAAAGTCTCTCGATGACAGAAGCATTGTGGAGGATAGTGAGAGTGTAAAAGACCTTGGAGAAACCACTGACTTATTAAACCTGGTAGGAGAAGCATATTATCACTTATTAAAGAAGAATGCATGCTTATAGAATATATACAGAAAAAATAAGTAGAATTAGACCTTTAATGATTTGGTTTATTGTCATTTTTAATGAGAAATTGCTGCCAGTTTTAAACATTAGGTAAAAAAGTGTGGCACAGTAACACAGTGTTTACAACCATTCTGACAGAGTCATGGGAAAACACAATACTAAATGCAAATAGAACTAACTGTATAATCATGAATAATTAGGAGAGAAAAATAAATAGACTTTCAAAAGGAAAAAGTAAATGACAAACTACATTAAATACAGGCTTCATTTAATAGTTTGGGGTTGCCATTTTATGTAAAATCTGAGTTAGAAAAACCTGTTGAAAACCATTGATATAAAAGACATAAAGCTTCCAAGTCTAATGTGAAAGTTTCTTTGATTTCAGACTCATGTAATGAAGATGGACCCTAGCGATAAGACTCTAACATTGTCTCCTATGGAGAAGGTAAGTGCTCACCTGGGTTGCTGTTCAAGAAATTCAAAATGTGCCATTTAGATGGTCAAACAGAGGTTGAGGAGCAAAAAAAATAAATGTTTATTCTTCAAAGGGTGGCACTCTTTTAGACCTCTGCTTACGTTTTCTCTCTTTTCGCTTCATTGACTTATTCTTCTCATTTGCTTTGCAGCTTTAAAGCTCATTCTGCTCTCGTTCAGCCTGCTCTGCCTGTTCATTCGTTTCTCTAACACTTTCCCTCTTTTTATCCTCTGCTTCCTGGGATAGAAGAATGTTAAGCTTGTGAAAGAGCACGGTAAGGAGAAGGGGAAGCCAAGAGATGACCCCGCCCTTTATAGAAAGAGGGCAGAGCTTTTAGCTCGCAAAGCTCTTCCGACTGAGTTACTTAAAAGTTCAAGTGGTAGCTCAGTAGTCGGAGACAGTCTTGGGTCAGGGACCCCCCACAAGAGCCCTAAGAGACATGGTCAGGATAAGGAAAATGTACTTATAGCTTTGGAGGATAGAAGGCCTTCACATCACCAAGTTGCAGGAAGTAACACAAGAATGGGGACGGACATAAGCAGAGCTGGATCCAAATCTTTTCAGCCCAAACACAAACAGCTGATGAAGTCAAGGGATAGAGTTACAGGAAAAGACACTGGGAATAAAGTACAGATACTTGAGGAACATTAAAAGGTAGAGGCTGAAAGTGAGAAGATTGCTCACAAGTCAAAAGAAAGTACAAAAACAAACCAAGAAGGTAAAACAAAACCCAAAGGTCGTCCATTGGAAGTCAGTAGTCGGTCTCAAAAGGTTATGGGGGAAGAAAAAGAAGTAAAAACAAAACCCATAATAGTTGCTGAACAATATCTTGAACAGACCACGCATAAAGACCAATACCCAACAGGTAAGAAGATCTCAAAAGAGATTTTACCAAAAGCTCAGAAGATGAAAGGTGAAATGAACACTGCTAAGACAGAAACCAAAGGTTTTGTCCCACAGAGCAAAAAGTTAGATTAAAAAAAAGACTCCAAAAGTAAAAAGACAATGCAAGAGCTCTCCACTACTTCACAACAGTCCTCTTGCCAAGAAGAAATTTCTACAAAGAAGACTAAAAAATCAAAAGCGGAACAAAGCCAATTGCTAGTAAAGGACCAAAAAAAGGGGTCTACCATTATCTCAGAAGCTGCCTTCAAATCTGAATCAGAGTCAGAGCAAATGAAGGAAAATCCTCTCACCAAAGTGACATCTTTTCTCCACAATGTGGGAATGGGAAGTCCCGCTCGTTTACTTGGAGATACAGCAGTCAGTCAGTTCCTTTCCCAGTCTGCACCCCAAAAAATGCCAAAACCTCTTTCAAAACAGAGAACTCTGTCTGACGTTTCGTCCCTGAGTGAGTCTTTTGAGGTTTCAGGACAAGAGGAGACAAGAGAGGCCAAGAAGACGGCCGTCACCATCAATGTTAAGGCAGAACCAGAAACTTCAGATGGTGACTTGGAAAGAACCAGCACTGAGTCCAAAACCGAGGCTCATTCTGAGGTGGGAACATATAGAAGAAGTGAGGAGGAAGGAGAAGAGGAATCAGAAGAGGAGGAAAGCGAGGGATCGGTGGACAGAAGGGAAAAGAGTGAGGAAGTGGATGACCGAGAAGAAGAAAGCGAGGGATTGGTGAACAGAAAGGAGGAGAGTGAGGAGGAAAGTGAGAGCAAGACCCTAGCAAATGATGATGATTCTGAGGTTGATGATGATGATACCACGATCAAAGCTTCTAGTGAGGATGAGGAAAGTGAGGAAGAGGAGGAGAAAAGTAAAAGTGAGGCAACTGAGGATGTAGAGAGTGAAGCTGCGGAAGAGGAGAGTCGTGGAATAGAAGATGAGGAAGAGGAAACAAGTGAGATAAGTAGAAACAGTGAGGAAGAGAGTGGAGAAGATGAGGGTGAAAGCAAAACAAGTGAAGAGGAAGAAGAGGAGGAGAGTGGAGAAGAATCAGAGGGAAAGTCAGAGAGCAGAAATGACAGATCAGAGGAAGAGTCAGATGAAGAAGACGAAGATGAGGAGTCAGAGGAGAAAGATAGTGAGAATGAGGAAGAAAGTGACGTGGAAGGTGACAGTGAGGCAAAGGAGGATGAAGACGGTGAAAAGACTAGCAAAGAAGAGGAGGAAGATTCAGAAAAGCAGGAGAGTGAGACTGAAGATGATGAAGATGAAGGGGAGAGTGAAAACGAAGCAGAGGAGGAGGAAAGTGAGGAAGATAAAGAGGCGAGCGAGGGAGGTCAAGAGGATGAGGAGGATGAAAGTGACGAAGATGAAGCAATGAGTGAGAATGACGAAGAAGAGGATGAAAATGAAGAGGTAGAAGAACAGGAGAGTAAAGAGGAAGAAGAAGAAAGTAATGATGAGGAGGAAGAACATGATGAAGAGGAAGCAGAGGAGGAAGAGTCTGAAGAAAGAGAGGAGACAGAAGAAGCAGAGGATGAGGAGGGAGAAGAGGAGAACAAACAAGAAGAAGAGCAAGAGAAAAGTGAGGAAGAGGAAGAGGAACAAGAAGAAGAGGAAAAGGAAAAGGCGAAAAGAAAACACGGCAAAGCGGCTGAATCCACCAAACCAAAGTCAAGTGTGAAAACATCAAAACAGCAGTCAAAAGGCCGAGCGCAAAACGATCAATCAGAGTCTAAGCAGTTTTGGGATGATGTTCTACCTCAATACCTTAACCTAAAATAATTCAGCAACCTCAAGCCCTATCTTTATTTAGTTAATGAGTTAATGAGCTTGCTGTTTCATGTTTGCCTTTTGTGTTCTTTCTTGCTTTTTGCTTTTGTCATGGTTTTTTTTTTTTCACCATTATTAATCTTGCAATTTCACCTATGGTAATCTTACTAAATGTATTGCTTCACATTTTTTATTTTTATTTTACAAACTGTTTTTATAAGTAATTATATGCCCAGGCAGTAGTGAAGACCTCATGATGTGCCTTAGGATTTATCTAATGGACAGCCATGTTCTTTTATTAACAAATGTGCTTGATTTGTCAGTAACCTTGAAACACCCCTATAAATTACTTTAAATTCTTAAAAATACAAAATTATGTACCAGTCTTCTGCCTTTATGTCAAATGCCTAACCATATTAAAATGGCAGCTCGTAATCTTTATGACTGGAAGAAAATAATTGGAAAAATTGAGCCCAAAGATTAGTCATTAAGTATCATTTAGTTACAATTTTTCACTTGTGCTTATGTGAACTTTTTTTTGTTACATATAATAACCAATAAAACTTATCATTTACTTCAACTATTTGCATCCATTTTTAAATTAATACAACTATTTGCATCCGTTTTAAATGAATACCTATGTGTTATTATATATTAATTTTTTTCTTTTATTTTAACAAAAGCACAAAATTCTGTATGGATTAAATGAAGAAAAATACATACTACATGACTGTTTAGTGAAAGCTATCATGCTGTACCTGAGAATTTCAGAATATAACATTTACAAAGCAAATTTTCATTTGAATTGTAAATATGCAAATATAGAAAGCCATTTGAGATATCGCCAACTTGCAAAGCCATTGCAATCAGGCAGAGTACTGAAAATCCTTCATCGGACAGGTGAGGCTGCCCTCTTTATATACTATCTCTGTAGAGGTGCTCCTCCTAAATAGATCCCTAGTTCATGTGCCTACTGTACTTACAGTGTGTGTGTTTATACATGTAGTTTGTTTGCTAGTTTTAATTTTACAAAGACCACTCAACTCACATGAACCCTCTCCTGCCATTCTAGTGCATTTCAGTCATCTGTTTAGATTGTGTCATTTCTCATTTTTCGCACAGCTCCGGACAGATGAGATGAATGGAAAGGTAGACGGAGAAGATGAGGAGGAAGACTATTTAGATGAAGAAGAAGATGATGATGAGGAAGAAGAGGAGGAGGAAGAGCATCCAGAGGAAGAAGAAGAGGGGGAAAAGTGTGATGAGAAGGAAGATATTCTAGATGAGAAGAGAAAAGAGACAGAGGAACAAGAGCAAAGCATTACAGAGGCAGACATACAGGTGCCCTGAAACCCTTCATTCATACCGTTTAGACTAATTTTGCATGAACATAGTGATTTAGCGTCACATCAGTAAACAACTGCAGTATTGCTTTGATTTGTTTGTGTGATGTCATTTTCTTACTCCTACAGAAAAAGCAGATTATAAAAGATGCATCTGTCCCCGATGGACCAAAGAAAGGTTAGTGTTTTTTACTTTTCAGCATCCTTTTTTCATTTTTCACTATTCCTATACAGTCCCAACGTTTTTAGTCTGTCATTTTTTAGGTCATCTATAAAGGGAAGCTTATTTTCACCACAGATTAAAAATATAAAAAAACGGTACCTGCAACTTTTTTTTCCCCCACAATTCTGAGTTGACATCTCTCGATTGTTTGTTTCTGCATTTTTAGACACCTTTCTGAGAAACTAGTCAAAATTGTTAGATATAAACTCAGAAGACAAAAAGTGAGAATTGCTAGTTTGTAATTAACAATTGCAAGAAAAAGTCAGAATTGTGAGATAAAAAGATGCAATAACCTTTTCATATCATATTCTATATATCTTCTAAGAGTATGGTGGTGGATGAGGAGATACCCCCTGACAACGTAAAGCGCTTTGAGTGCCTAGAAAAGCGCTATATAAATGTAACGAATTAAATTAATTAATTATAATTGCAATGCAAATTGATTATATAAGCTGATTTTTCTGTCTTTCTCTTTTTTTGTTGAAATTCTGAAGATTCTGATCCTGCTACTCTTATAAAAGAGGAAACACAGTCAGAGAGGAATGAAGTTACAGAAGACAAGCCAAAGACTCTTTTTGGCTCCAGGAACAGGGTATTTAACCACTCAGACCTTTTAATCTTTATAATAAACACCAGTAAGCACCCATATTCATACGTAACACCCTAGCAACCAGCTAATATTAAAATGGTCCATTGTTTGACCTCTTTCCTACCTGGCTTTTTCAGCTTTCTCTTTTCAAGAGAGCTTCCACCAAAGGCAATAAGGCAGAGATCATCACATCAGGCAAACCGGGAGCTGACGGTCCCCCTCAAATCCCAGAGACTCGAGAGCCAGAGAGTTCTAGCAGTGGAGCACAGACCACAGCATCCAGTCGATCACATTCAGCCACTTGCAATCTGCTTTGACACCTGGTTTGAAACCATCTTCTGACTTGAAAAAAAGGATCAGAATTAGTAGAATCAGCAGTTCAACAAAGCAACACATGGTGTTGGTGGTGTTAATGGTACTGTGCCTTGTGCTGCAAAGCAGACATCACAAAATAACTAGCTTTAGCAGAAAACTGAGTTTGGGAGATCGATTTAAGCAGAGCTGTGTGAGCAATAATGGTTTTGCTTTGGTACTACATTGTATAATGTTTTTCCCTTTGTATGTTTGCAGTGTCTGATTTGTATAAGGTTTGAAACCATCTTCTGACTTGAAAAAAAGGATCAGAATTAGTAGAATCAGCAGTTCAACAAAGCAACACATGGTGTTGGTGGTGTTAATGGTACTGTGCCTTGTGCTGCAAAGCAGACATCACAAAATAACTAGCTTTAGCAGAAAACTGAGTTTGGGAGATCGATTTAAGTAGAGCTGTGTGAGCAATAATGGTTTTGCTTTGGTACTACATTGTATAATGTTTTTCCCTTTATATGTTTGCAGTGTCTGATTTGTATAACTTTTTAGCAAATACATTCTCAAAGTAATTTTGAGTAAATTTACCAATATGTGCAGTATATCTACAAATACAATTATGTATGTGTTTGTATGTTTTTATACCTATTTATTTAAATTTGTTGAAAGACTCGGAAGCACCTGTGCACTTTATATATTATAAAAATCTTGTATTCAGGGTAACGTGATAATTTTTTGTCAATGGACTTTTTGTAAGAATCATCTCACAATCTTTGTATCTGACTCGATACAAGTAAACGTCAACTCAAAATTGTCATTTTCTTTTTTATGGTAGATAGATAGATAGATAGATAGATAATGGTGAGTGGGATGAGCGCCACTAGATGGCAGCACTCAATCGCCATTGTGTTGCTAACATCAGCCTTTAGTTGTCAGTGAGAGAACAGCTACACTCATCTGAACTGTGTTGTCTAGATTTTTGGTTTTCAAGCTAAAAAAGATGGAGGAGTATCATTCTGGAGATGAAGTAGGTGTTATATAAGACTATAACTGGTTATTATCTGTCTAACTCTTCAAAACTGGTAAACTAGACTGCCATTTAATGCTAGCTTGCTAACCGCTTCGTCCGGACAGAAACAAAATATTACTTCATCCACGAACGTACATATTTTCATGTGTTTACATAATTTACATATACATAGATGATTAAAAGTAAATTTGGTTTATGTTTTACATTATTGTGTTGTACGTTTTCACGTAAAAAGATTCAGGGTGTGGCCAAATCATAACGTTAAAGCAAATTATGAATTAAATATCAACATTTTTGTATTCATAAACCTTATTTTGAGGGGGGTTTTTTTGTTGTTGTTGCTGACTTACGTGTTTCGTGTACATTTTGATCTAATGGATGCGGGTGTTTATGCATTATTAAACCCATTTGACAGCTTGTGTTTATATTTTTAAATCTTTAATTTCAGGTGTCTTTCAGTCCAGATGATGCAAGTAATGTTGTAAAGGAGGTAGATTCACTATAAAACCAAACACACACACACACACACACACACGTATAACAACATTAAAACCCCTATATGATATACTGTGTCTCACTGAATGAATTGATTTGCTGTTTAGTCTCATGTCTAACTCATGCCTGCAAGTCTGCTCCATTAACTCTGTCTGTGTGTGTTTATCGGTCAGTGCATTGAGGGCATTATTGGAGGCGTGGACTACAGCCAGAACAAAGTCAACCAGTGGACAGCCAGCATAGTCGAACACACTCTCACTCAGTTAGTCAAACAGGGGAAACCGTTCAAGTACATTGGTATGAGCTTTTCCATTTGAGTTCATCCTGTATGCAAATACCTAAAAGGTTATATATCTGATGATATATTTATACGGCTCTGTGTCATGTTTTCACAAGGCCAAATGTGCTGTTGTTGATTGTATTTATTATATATGAATTTCAGTCAACTGTGCTGTGATGCAGAAAAGCGGAGCAGGTCTTCACACAGCCAACTCGTGTTACTGGGACACTACCACTGATGGTAAAGCTTTTAATTCTATATAACTGCTTTGTGCTTTCATAGACACACTGACACATTGGTCTTCTAATTTAATTGATATTTTTCTGAATAAAGTTTAAATCGATGCATTGCATATTAGTTGTATGTGGAACATGCATTATTTTGCTTATATGAATATGCATATATGCATTATATGCAATATAATATAATATGAATTATATTAATATTATATGTCCATTTTTTTCAATATGTTCTATTTTATTTTTAAATATTTCATTATTTAAATGTTGTATTATATGTTATTATATATATATATATATATATTTTTTTTTATTTATTTTTTTTTTTTTTTATCTCTTAAATTTTTATTCTTTTATTTTTAAATAGTTCTGTTGTGCGACAATGGATTCGTAACAGTTGAAATAACTATTCCATGTAGTCTTATAAAAAGATTATGGAAATGAAAATGGTAATTGCGACAGTTACAAATCTCACAATTTAGAAATTTTTTCCCTGCAGTTCTGAGTTTATATATGAGGATTTTGACTTTTTTTTTTCTCAAAAATTTTAAGAATTGCAAGATGTATATTTTTATCATAATTCTTCTGAGTTTATATCTCAGTTCTGTTTCTTTTTGTTTGTTTGTGTTTTCCTCCACAGAATAAAAAGTCAAAAAGATGTGTAAAAACTGACTTTTTATCTCACAATTCAGACATTTTCTTGCAATTTTTTTATCTTACAATTCAGAGAAAAAAAAGTTAGAATTGTGAGATATAAACACTGAATTGCAAGGGAAAACGTCCAGATTGTAAGATAAAAAGTTAGTTAGCTTTTTTACTTTTTTTTTTAATCCCATGGCAGAATTAAGCTTTCTAAAAGATACCTGTAGAATATTTATAAAATAAAGGGGGAAAAAAGTGTTCAAAAATTGTCAAATAATTAAAACAAAAGTATAGAATACCGCAGGACACCACTAAAACTGCTTAAAATTTCATGTCAGCGGTCCAAACGTGTTCTATTTTATTTATTGGACTTGTAATAAATAATAGGTCTTTATAATAAACTATAGTTTTTTCTTTAAAAAAATCTGTATTTTTAAGTATCACAGTTTTTCAAACTAAATGAGATGACGCACTGTGTGCATTTGATTTCATTGTAATATGTGTGTTTTTGCAGGAAGCTGCACAGTCAGGTGGGAGAACCGCACCATGTACTGCGTCGTCAGTGTGTTTGCAGTGGCTATTGCGCTATAAACAGGAATCAGGGCTGAGACAGAAACAAAAGGATAAAAACACCTTCACTCACATCCTCTGCTTCAACACTGGCTTAAAATCATGTTCAACTTGTGTCATGTTTTGCCTAATCTATAAAGTTTAAACTGTATTGCAAATGCCTGTCTACCACATTGTATGTTTATTTGCCTTTTTCTTTTTTTTTTTGGACTTGCAAAGGTAACGTGCACCTTTGTTCTGTACAGGATGAAATGCAAATATGTTGATGCTTAATTATTAAAGTTGTCTGATTTGGGTTTATCAATCCAAAAAATATATAAGGATGTTTTTTTTTTTAGTCTTCAGACTTTTGAGGCATTTTCCATATCTGAACATTTATTTAAATTCTGAACCAAATACAAACTATGAGGGGGAATTTACAAACAATGCAAGGATGTCACATTATGACATAATATATGTTAAACTTTATTTTTGGTAACTGAAATTAAATCTTTCTCCTTCTTTAAAATTTGTAATGAGCCAGCACACAATAAATTTGCTAAGAAAAAATTATAAGCGAAACTGAAGTCCATCTATACAGCCCACATAGAATTACCCACTATAACACCATATTCAATTCAGTATCTGACTGTTTTATAGTGGCATGCCTTGTATTGTAACATTGTGATTTCATTAATCAGCCCACCATATTGCTAAACTTAAAGATTTTGTAAGGTTTATTTAACTTCCACTTAAGAGAGGAAGCAGGTTTGGAAAGCAGGATAGTTTCACAGTAAAATAAAACTTTGATCTTTATAGTACATAAAAATCAATTATAGATCATGCACATAATGCAACAACATAATAATGACATAAACATGCACTGCAAAAAAAAAAAAAATATATATATATATTCTTGACAAGAATTTCATTTGAAACCGTAAATAAAAACTTAATTTTTTGAACAAAATCTGCCAGTGCAGTGAGACAAAATCTACTTACACTCAAGATATAATCTTTGAAAACAAGTCTGAATGTCTTATGCTGTGGTTTAAGGATTTTTCAATATTTTTAATTAGAAAACAAGTCAAAAGACTATTAATTAAAGGGGTCATATGATGCGTACCGAAAGTTTTGCTTTCTCTTTGGAGTGTTACAAGCTGTTCATGAATAGATAAGATCCCTAAAGTTGCAAAGACTAAAGTCTCAAACCCAAAGAGATATTCTTTATAAAAGTTAAGACTCGTCCACGCCCTCCTAAAACGCCTCGTTTAAACACGCCCCCACATGTCTACGTCACTGTGTGGGAAGATTTGCAGTAACTTTTATTCTCGCTGTAGTATTGTTGTTGCCGCCGCCATGTTGTGAAGGCGCTGTGTGTTTCGTTGTGAAAGCGAAACTACTTTGTTTGGTCTTCCAAAAGAGGATCCGATCACAAATGCAGACATGTTTTTATGTTTACGCGGCGCGATGCAACGCGTAAAAAGACAGTATAAAGTCATTATAACCTGTAATTATGTCCCCACTGGATGCTACAAATGCCTCGGTTATAATTTTTTTTTGTCTTGTCGCTCCGGCCGGGACACGGCATCACAGTATGGTAGGGGCGTAACATTTCTGTCACACGCTTGAGGTATTCGGCCAATCACAACGCACTGGATAGCTGGCCAATCAGAGCACACCTCGCTTTTCAGACCGATGAGCTTTGTATAAATCGATGCGTTTCAGAAAGGCGGGGCATAGAGGAGAAACAATAATGTACAGTATGTGGAAAATAATGTGTTTTTTGAACCTTAAACCGCATAAACACATTTCATTACACCAAATACACAAAATAATGTTCTTTTTAGCAACATCATATGACCCCATTAAGACGTCATTTTTGCAGCATTTACAGTGATTTAAAATGTGTTTATCAGCATCCATGGGTTCTGATACATATGATTTGGCACACTTCGTGAAGCACATCAGAAGTTTTCTTTGTTGAATATAAACTCAGTTCCAGATTCAGTGTGTGAAATACACTGCTTCCCCAGAGCTGTGGCCAAAGCCGTAGGACCACATAGAAAAACGCCTACTTTTGAACTGAAAGAAGGAAGAGGAAAAAATACTAGTTATTAATGCACATTAAGTGTAGAAAGCCTTTAACGCTGCTGTTATTTACCACACTCTACATACCCTGGGTGTTGGGTAGCGATGGCACTGAACTCATTGTCCCAGTTGGGTTTACCATACCGAGTCTTCTGCTTAAGCCCGGTGATGGGATCGTCCTCTGCCTCATATTGAACTCTAAGATGGGCTGCCTTTAAACAGTAATTAAAATAATGAGTGTCAAAGTATTTTTTTGTATTTCAGGGCAGTTCAAAATAGTTCACAGTGTCTTGTCATTAAACAAGCAAGTCTTGTCGCCCACCTCAGCATCTTTCCAGCGCGTTAGATAGATGTTGTAACTGAGGAAATCCCTCATGTCTTTTTCATTCATCTGCCTTTCCAAACTCTGCAGCAGGTCTGCAAACCATTCGAAAGCCTGCGTCTCCGGGCAGAGCCAATAGAAATAGATCTGCAGAGGTCAATGGTCAGAACATTACAATAGTAACAGACAAAACCCTTGCTTTTTGGGACACTAGTCAATTTTGAGTTTCAAGGCTATTTTGCTACCATAACTTGACTTCTTTCAGATTAGCGAAAAGACAACATCCAAAATACACATTTAAGTGTTTATTTTATTACACTTTATCTACATGCATTTGTAGAGTTGAATTACAATACATATTTTTAATGGTCGTTTCCTTAAAATGAGTTTTTATTCATGCACTGAACAATAAATCTCCACTTCAACTTCAATTTATTCAGAGTAATGAAAAGGGATGTTCAAAATCCCCTGTGTAAAAACCTGTAACTCTAATGTCAACAAAATAAAACAAAAAAATTCCAGTGTTCACACTTCTGTTCTGGAAATGTAAGCAAATTAGTGCATATTTAATTAGATGATGCCTCAACTGCAAATCAATTCTGAAAACTTGTAATACATAACAACTGTATTAATGCACTGCAATTAATCAACTGTAGAAGTATGATGATATCTACTACTTACATTTTTTTTACCATATTCGCCTGTAGTGCTTTGCCTTAAAAAAACTGACATTTATGAGTTTTAATGAATAAGACTACAAAATAAACAAAGATGTTGTTCTGTCATTCAAAGCCTGAATCGCTAAACTTGGTGCTGTTTATCACCTTTTTGGTGAAGACGTTTTTGTTCTCCTGGACGTGTTTGTACCACACAGACTTTAGAACGGAAGCAAAAGGTGTCACACCAATACCGGCACCCACAAGCATCACAACTTCATAACGAAAGACATCCTCACTGGCCGTCCCAAATGGCCCATCCACAGCCACCCTACACAGACAAAAACAGACATTATGCACGGCAAACTATCAAATTGTGCTAATAACTGAGCATTGTGTTGTTAGTGTTTGTATTCTTTTAGTTCTCTACTGTAGGAGGAAGAAATTAGGAAACACATAAAGAGAAATAGCAAGAAAAATTCACTTATGTTGAAATCAACATTGACCTTCCATCTTCTCAAACAGAAACCTGCTCTCCCAACACTTCTCTTTTTTCTCAACTGTGATTGTGCCCACATCCCCTTTTTACACATGTATTTTCCCATTTTACAAGTGACACTTGCTAGTACTATTAAAGGGGTCATACGATGCTGCTAAAAAGTACATTATTTTGTGTAACCAGATAGTGATGTAGGTATGTGGGGGCGTGTTAGAACGAGCTGTTTTAGGTAGGTGTGGCTGACTTAACTTTTATAAAGAATATCTCTTTGGATTTGAGACTTTAGTCTTTGAACTTTACAGATCTTCTTTATGCACCAAGAGCTTGTAACACTCCAAAGAGAAAGGAAAAATTGAAATCGCATCATATGACCCCTTCAAAAGCACTACATCTGTTATTCAAGACATAAACCTGACATTAAAAGGACAAACATTTTTGTCATCATTTGTTTAACCTCATGTCATTCCAAACCTGTATGACTTTTTTTCTTCTGCAGAACAAGGTGTTTTAAAGGTGACATATAATGAAAGTCTAAAAATCTGTGTTTAAGTGCTACGTATGAAAACGTGAAAAAGATTAACCCAGTAAATTTTTTTGGCAAAGCCTTTCTCAGCAAGCTTGTGAAAAAAAGAGCGTGTCAGATTTCGCTCCCCGTGACGTAGAAAGGGGATCTTATTATAATATCACCGCCCCTAAAGGTCCTTGCACACTGAAGTCCAAAATTTTCATATGCGTTTTTTCAGGGGTTTTCTTTTTCATATTCGTCATCCTTTCCTATCAAAATGCTTACTAAAGATGCGAAAATGCAGAAAATCGAACCTGGTCGAAATATTTTTATGATGAAAGTTTCAGAGGCAGTGTGTAAACGTGATTGACACAACGTATTTATTTTTTAACGTGCGAAAATTTTGAACGAGAATTTCAATTTTGACTCAGTGTGCAAAGACCTTTAATCTGCAAGTTTGCCAAGTCTGTGGTCCGCGGAATTGGGCTTCTTTAACACTATTGCCATGGGTTGTTTTTCATGTCCGCGGGTTGATGCGACCCCAATAACGTGATTTTAGCCCATAAAATGTGAATTTTACCAGGGGAACCCCGACCACAAAACGTGTTTTTTACCCCCCACCCAACGTGATTTTTACCGGGGATTGAATGCGATTCAAACCGGGGATTGAACGAAACGTGATTGGTCTAGTTTTGGGCTAGTTTTGAGTAGCAATTGGGCAGGTTTTGTTGTGAAAACCTGGCAAACCTGCACAGCGCCATCTTTTTGTTTTTGCAAGCGACAATGGTGTACCAGTTTTAACACCATGGCATGCTAACTGTTCTGTCTTTGGCTGCACTGACAAGCACAGAACAATATTTAGAGTCCCAGCCTCACAGGAGACAAGAGAACAGAGGATTATTTTATTTACTGCATATTACACTGCTGACACAGATCTAATATAAACATGTGATTTCTTTCCCAGTTGTTTACCTTCACAGACGTAACCACCTGTTTTTGTAACTCATGTGTGTGTTTTAACAAACTTGTGGGTATTTGAATGTTTAAGCGCAATAAGGCATGAAAGAGAACTTAGTACTCACATGCCATGTGACAGTGACATGTGACATGCCATGTTTCTGTGCGCGTGCTTTGGATGTGTGCACTCAGAAAACTGTATGTCAGAAGTTTAAACTTATATGGCTTTAAAATGCATAATTTCAGCGCAATAGACATGATAATCAAAACCAAACAGATGCTTTTTAGCAGAGTATCTGAAAAAGTGGGCAGGGAGCAGCAGCTCATTTGCATTTAAAGAGACATGCACGAAAAAACAGCATGTTTCTGCTTTCACTCAAAATAGGCATTTTCAAAATTATATAATAAATGATCTGTGTTGTATTTTGAGCTGAAACCTCACAGACGCATTCTAGGGACAACTGAGAGTTATATTACTTTGTAAAAAGGGGCACTATAGGGCTCCTTTAAATAATGTTCTTGTCCACACAATGAAAGTCAATGGGGTTTGGAACAACATAAAGGTGAGTAAATGCTGACAGAATGTTCATTTTTGGATGAACTTTTGGATCTGTTACTTTAATCTTACTTTGGTAGTGTCCAAGCATCCAGCACCACAGTTTTGTCACCTCCACAGGCTGTATAAAGGGCTTGTGTCCAATCCCCTACAATTCGGATATGCACACTAAGGTGGTCTTCCTCCGGGGCAGAGGTCAAGGTAAAGGGATGCCACTCTAGCTGAGAGATGGACGGGCACTGCATGAAAACATACTGACCGACCTCCATCTTAAAGCCCTTCTTCTTCATCTGCAGCTCAAGGGTCTTAGATGGGTGCATCACTACCTGTAAAGTGATGCAATATGGTAAGAGAGGAAGATTTCATTTGGTTGCTAATCAAACAGCTTGAATGACTAACCTTGGTGATAACCACTTTCTGCTGTGAGCGATAGAAACGCACCAGTCTCTCACATACATATAGAAACATTGGGCCAACCACCCACTTCCATGTCTGTAAGAGGAAGTACATGTTGAGATGCCATCGAAATGATGAATGAAATGCTAGATGTATTTGAGATTGAGATTATGTTAGGATATACCATCGGCGGATTCCCAGCAAAGACAGGTTCTGGGCAGTCGGTGCCATTTTGACCCCAGGTCTCGAACTTGCTGTGACATTCAACTGGGTCATGAACCTTTACACTTTCCACAGTTTGGCCTCGCACGATACGCCTACACAGACACACACGCAGTTACTGCATAAATAATGCATGGTAATTCTCTTGCTAGCATTATGTGCCTGTCAACATGTATTATGAGATGTGTTATAATGCTTCATTAAAAATAGCTTAAAACTGTATGTCTAGCCAGAAATGAGTGGGTGTTTGTGCTTTCAAATCATCCCTTATTAGCGCTGAGCACAATGCGTGCAAGAGGAACTGTGGTATTGACAGTGGAGTTGAGAAAGCGGAGAGCACAACAAAGTTGAAAATTGCTCAACTTTAAACAGTACAAATGAAAGGAAAAAGCGAAGCATCCAATCACTGTTTAAAATCCAGTAGATTCAGTGATTAAATCACATTTTGCATATTATTACAATATTTAATTCAGATGCAGTTTGCGTGCTTTCATGCTGTTTAGGCTGTAGCTATTGGTTAACAAAAGTGTATATAACAAAAGTTGATATAACGTATATACACTACCAACTACAAAAGTTTGGTTTCACATGATTCTTCAGAAATTATTCTAATATACTAATTTGGTGCTCATTAAACATTTCCTATTATCAGTTAAGCTGATTAATATTTGTGTGGAAACATTTGCGATACATTTTTTCAAGATTCTTTGATGAAAAGAAAGTTCAAAGGAACTGCATTTATTTAAAATATAAAATCTCAAATCCACTTCAAGTTGGATCCAACACATCTCTACTGTCATATTTGATCATTTTTAACATATCGATGCTGAATGAAAGTATAGAAAATTCATATTGTGAAATACAGATTTAGTTTTGGTTTCGATTAACCAAAAAATACAAATATTAATTGAACTAAACCCTTACCCAATTCCATGAGCCACCAAACCAATGAAAAAGACGATGAACAGATGATGGGTGAACCAGAAGACCTCGAAATATGACCTTCTGATGACCTCCATGGAGGAAGTGATGATGAGGATGAGGGCGAGGGTGATGACCACCCCCGTCAGTCCTGCTATAGTAGTAAACATCACTATGGTTGGGTTCTGGGAAATCAAAAACACAAAAATTACAACATAAAACATTACTCAACATGCAACATACAATAAAAGCAACATTACACTAAAAAGAAACAAAGATAAAGTAGACTGCAAAAGTCTCATACACTACCTTTGACAGGTTTGGGGTCAGTACTTTTTTTTTTCTTTTATTCAACAAAGACATATTAAATGAATCAAAAGTGACCATTTATAATGTTACAAAAGATTTCTATTTCAAATAAATGCTGTTATTTTAAACTTTTAAACTGAATCCTGAAGAAAAAAAAATCAGTTTCCACAAAAAATGTTAAGGAGCACAACTGTTTTCACAATTGCTAGTAATAAAGTGTTTCTTGAGCCCCAAATCTGCATTTTAAAATGATTTCTGAAGGATTATGTGACACTCAAGACTGGAGTAATGGCTATTATCACAGGAATAAATTACATTAAAGTATTTAAATAGTAATAATATTTCATAATATTACTGTTTTTACTGTAATCTTGATCAAATAAAGAGAGCATAAGACACTTCATTCCAAAAATCTTCCTGATCCCAAACGGTAGTGTAGGTCTATATAGAGATGGTAAAACAATCATTTAATTTTTTGCCCTTAACCACAAAAATTGTTCAAAATCTGTTAGTTTTTCTCAAAAGCAGCTATAAATATAGTAGATCTTTTTATATCAGTCATAGGATGTGTGTGTTGATTGTTCTCTCTCCCTGTTCTATTTCTGGCTATTGTCCACCAGGTCATCATAGCAAAACCATGGTAACAGAATTTTTAAAATCATGTGATCTCATCAGCAGCAGCAGCATGATGGCTATGTGATGTAACCGTGGGTGGAGGTGGGAGGTTATCCTACAGGGCTGAAGTGAGATCAGTTGGAGGTTCCTTGCATAACGAACAAGATGCTGCCTCAGAAACAGAGTTTTAATGGGGACTTCTGTTAACAACAAGACTGTGTAACTCAAACACGAAACGTGTGTGACTGAAATGAGTAAAAACCTCACCGTCTCATTGGTTCTGATAGGGTTGAGGTAGGATCTGTTGTCATTGTTGCCAATCTGAGAAAGCACATAAGGCAGGTGACTGCTGTTGATCATAAGCTGGGAATCCATGAATCTCTCAAAGTTGAACAAGTGAGCTATGATGTGGATGGCTGGGAGAATATACAAGACATCATCAGCAAGGCTTACAGAATTTCATCCATAAAATATAAGAGAAAAACAGTACAAAGCTGTCACTGGGGTCATACAAAAAGTTACAAAAGGTACAAAAGGTTTGGACCTTATTTATCCTTAAAAGTTACATATTAGTATCTTAAGGTTACATTTTAGTACCTTTATTTCTGAGAGTGTGTACAAAACGTTGAGTTCAGATTGTAGGGTTTGAGGAAAGAGATTTAATCTAGATGAATATTCTTTCTTATTGTACCTGTGTGGAGGGCAATCATGTAGGCCACTAGTTTGTGGAAAGTGAGGTTTCTGTCTAGCTGACGGGCTGCAGTGCGGCTACAGTACTGTGAACACACACCATTAATGAGGAGATTCAGGCTTTTTCATTTTTGGATAAGTCTTTCACTTTCGCTCTGTTGCTCCTTCCCTGACCTGTATGGATCCGCGCAGGAACGAGAGCAGGTTTCTGCAGACGGGCAGCAGGATCAACATGCAGTTAAAATTCAGACATGCAGCTGGAGCTCTGGCCCATGAGAGAGCATGCTGAGTGAGAGGGAGAGTGAAAATAAGCCAGAGACACGGGAAAGTTTCATTTCCTATTTTAAGCTCTGAACAATATATTCACTAATGCATTAAAAAACGGTACTTAGAGCTATAATGTAACAATATAGGCCAACATATAAACATTGTACTTTTCTAAATTCTGAGTAGAATCTAACAATACACTAGCAGAGTGAAATATACAAATATGAAATTATATTAACAATATAATTTAATATAATTAATTCTATGTGTGCGTGTGTGTATGTGTGTGTGTGTGTGTGTGTGTGTGTGTGTGTGTGTGTGTGTGTGTGTTACAGAGAGAGAAGAAGACAGACAGGCAGACAGATATACAGACAGACAGAGAGAGAGAGAGAGAGAGAGAGAATGAGAAAATGAGCCATAGAGATGGGGGAAAGTTTCATTTCCTATTTTAAGCTCTGAACAACATATTCACTGATGCATTAAAAACTGTACTTGCAGATAAAATGTATAGCAATATATAGGCCTACATATGAGAATTGTACTTTTCTAAATTCTGAGAACAATACACTAGCTTAATACAATATACACTCTAAAAATGCTGGGTTGTTTCAACTCAACTTTGGGTCAAATATGGACTAACCCAACTGTTGGCTAAAAGTTTTAAATTACATTTTTAACCCAAAAGTTGGGTTAGTCCATATTTGTCCCAACATTGGGTTGAAACAACCCAGCATTTTTTAGAGTGTACAAATATGAAATTAGATTAACAATACAATTTAACATAATTAACACTGGAGTGTAACTACACAAATTATTACAATTACGAATTATAAAGATTACATTTTTAAAAACCCCAATAACATCAATATAATAATTTACAAAATAAAAAATACAATATATTCATCCTATTTATAGATTATTGAATAAATTAAATGTTTAAAATGTATAAATTATTTGACACCTACCCCAAGGATGACTCTAGTATAGTAGTATCTATCAACCAAAAATGCCATGTAAAAATGCACAAAGAGAAACACATTGATGCCGAGCCATACCAGCTGAAAAACACAACGGAGAGCGTCTGAGACGATTTGTAGACTGATTAAGTAAATATAAGTATAAAGCATGAGGAGTATCTCTGTCCTTCAGGATGTTTAACAAATAAAACATAATGTGCCAAACACACACAAATGCAATTAAGAACTTTAAATACAAAGACTATAAAATAAAGATAAAAGTTAATTTAATTAAGAAAGTATAACTCCAACAGCTTACAATAACAAAAATGGACAGTCCTTCATTTGCAGCAAAGTTTCCCATGATGTTGTGCTGTGTAGAAAGAGAAGATCAAGAGAAGTGTGGATGAACAATTTTGAAGAAAGCCACAAGACAAAAAGGGATTTGGTTTATAAAGCAGAGAAGCAAACCAGGAAATAGTGTCACAACTGTGAGCCCATGAGAAACCATCACGCAAAGTTCCTCAACCTAAAGGGGATGGCCAGACAATCTCTCAGTTCTCTTTCTGATTTATAGTCAGGCCTGTCATTCATTCAGTCTTAGTTTTTGTAGTGTCAGAACTGTTATGGTTTTATGATTTAAATAAGTTTCATGCATTTGTTACTGTCTTTCTCATGAGCATATTGTAAATGGGTTTTAATTGAGGTTTTCAGAAAAAACAATTACAAAAAAGTGACAACTGACCTCGCACATAGAAAACACACAGCAAATACAATGATAATTAAAAAAATAATAAATAAATAAATAACAGGAGAAGTTCAATAAACAGTGTGTACCACCATGGACAAAATAGCATTCTCCTTTATTTATTTTATTCTTTATTATGGGTTTAGCTGATAGTTGCACGTATCAAAAGCAATGGTGTGCTCTATGCAGTGCTGAAGGACATATTTTGAGGGAGTTTCCAAATGTAACCCAATCACAGTCTTGCAAAATTAATAACCTCAAACCATTCAACTCCCCACAGGGGGGCAGTAAAGTTAGGATACAATCATCTACTGCCTTCAATGAAAATAATTACTTTTTTTTTTTTTTTGTAACATTTTGTAGAAAAAAATCAGAATAATGTGCAAAAGAGGTCTCCAGATGAGACAAATGCAAAATAGGAGTGTAAACAAAGGAAAGAAAAAACAACTGATTAAATCATTCTTTGCAGGATTATGAAGGTCCTGCCAACCCAACTCTCACTATCCATATGTCCTTACATTTTTAAAGAAACTTCAGGCAATTGCTTGAATTTAGGCCATATGTTATCATATGATAGGACACTGTCATATGACCAATCAGGACTAATTTCACAGTCTTACACATGAGTAGAGTAATACGAAAAACTAGAAGAAAGTATTAATAATGAACCTGAAAGGTTGTCAAACAATTTTCAGAGAGCAATGCCTCCAAGGTGATGGAAAAATCAAAAGCTTAAATACAATCGTTTAAATAACTCTGCTTTAAATAATCCATACACAGAGACAGCTATAACATTAATCAAACCAACACCGACAGAGCGCTCCCACGTCACATGACAAAAAAGCAGCGGTTTCATCTTGGTAGGGAATTTCACATGCACTTCAGTGGAACATGCTGGCTCTTTTGCCTTGTAAACCAAACAAGAAAAAGTATATTCAGTACAACAAACGTTGACGTTTACATGCCACCATTAAGGCAGAAATCCAACATTTTAATTTTATTTCTCCCTCTTGATCCTTAAAGGGCACTTCTTACAGTGTTTTTATAGGGATAGTTCACCTACAAAAGAAAACTCTGTAATTTTTTACCTCACCCTCATGTTCCAAATGGTTCCGAATGACTTTATACCTTCCGTGGAATGCAAGAGAAGATATTTTATGTAAGACAACTGTCTTTGTTTATGCAATAAAAGTCGATGGAGTTCAAAAAAACCTTTCTTCTGAAGAAGAATAAAGTCATACAGGCATGACATGAAGGTGAGTAAATGATGACAGAATTGTCAGTTTTAGTTGAACTATTTCTTTAAGCTGTGCTTTGCTCACACAGCGCCGCACAAACTCTGTCCAATGTCCCCTTTGGTAACGCAGGGTGGATCGTCTCCAGTGTCTTCCCCTGGTGGCTTGGTCCTCATGGAGCCCGGCTGGGAAAGCGTCCCACGAAGCAGGCAGAGGGATCCACAGTATTCCCAAAAGCCTTGGGCTGGACTGGATGAGAAGAGTTGTCTGCAAGGGTGGCAAAACTGGTAAAAGAGCAACATAAATAAAACAGCTATGGCATAACCCAACAACAGCGACAGTTCTAACACGGGAGCGTCCACCCATTGGTAGAACTCAGTCCGGTGGACGTACCACATCAAAATCAGCCCCATGTTCTCGACAAAACGGAGGGAATAATACACAGCGAGGCGCCTCCATGCCTGACCCTTATCGATCAGATCAGGGTCATCCAATCTAAGCTGAACGGCGGACCAGCAGAACACGTTGATGCCGGCGTACAGGAAGGTCAACATGCAAAGGACAATAGTGGTCCCGACACGAGTCAATGTCTTCTCAATGTTCTCCGGGAAAGGAGAGTGGCTGCTCCAGAAGAGAACCCACGGGTGCAGAAAGAACAGGACGAAGTTGGCCGACACCACCGGAAGCACCCATACCTTCAACACGGAACTGAAGAGGACCAGTACTGCCACACGTGTGGCGATCTCGAACCCTCGCCACAGGAACACGCACAGGTATGCCAACGGACGCACGGAGACTTCGTAATCATCGTAGCGTATCTTTATGGCCAGAATATTGCAGCGTAGGGCTCCGTATACAATCGAGAGAAGGGAAATGACCATCAATGTACCTGGCAGAGAGCGAAAAGAATGAAACATGAGCGCGTTAAATCCAAACATACTTTGTGGTTAAGAGCAATTGAACAAACATTTGCATTAGATAAGTGGATATTGAATAAACCACTCCAGTGTGTATAGAGGCCCAAACATGCAGAAATTATAAATAAACAATTAAACAAGGAAAGACAAAGAAAGAAAAAATAAATACATGACTATATATGACCTTCCCCACTTTCATGTTGCACATAAAAAAGTTAAAATAAATAAATGTAAAATAAATAAATAAATATGGAAATAAATAAATGCATGAAAATTGTAAAAATAAAAGCAAAAGTATGTATAAATAAATAAATGAATGAATGAAAATGAAAAAAGTATAAATAGATAAATAAATTTATACCCAGCCCATTTCCATGTTGCATATAATAAATAACTGTATACATAAATAAATGCGGGAATAAATACATGTAAAATAAATACACAAATTAAGTTAAAAAATGAAATAAAGAAAAAAAAAAAAAAAAAAAAAAAGCAATACAAAAATAAATTCAGGACAAAATTCAATGAAAACTGTATTTGTTTTAGCAAATCATTTATTTCTTTATTTATTTTTATTTGGTTTTGGGCCGCCATAACTGTGGTGCATAATACAGTATGTTGCCATTAGGTTACATAATTAACTATTTACTACTACTGTTTACTATTGTTGTTAAGTAATAAAAGATAACAAAAGCAGATACCCTGAAGGCCCAAATCCACCAGCAGTGCAAACATATGGCCTCCATCAGCCTTCCATCTGATCTAAAGTCAGTTACCATTTCATTACTCTATGCCTCATGGGTAATGGGGTCAGACTGATTCACTATCCATTATGATCTCCAATACTGCTTTCAAGGATGGACCGCAAGGCTGTCAACACATTCCTCATGCAGGGCAGATGACTACATATCTGCGAGGCAGAGTCGGGTCTATAATTCCTAATATTCAATGTGGAGTGACAGTTGATGGGTGGAGAGTAAAACTCTAATTATACCAAATAACAGCTTGCAAATGCCTAAGCTGTCTACAATATACAGTGGAGTCCAACAGTCCAAAAGAGACCTTGCATTTGTAATAAAATACACATTTTACATTTTCATTATTATTATTAGCATAACAATCTAGATGAAATGTCTAAATAGATGTACATGAATTTCACAATTTTGGCAGAATATTGGCATTATACGTTGTTTATTATTTATTTTCACAAGAAATCCTATGACGTTTTGTTTAGTATCAGGTTAACAAAAATAATAATGATAAAAAAAAACACTGTACTCTGTTTAGTCCCAGGTTCACAACAATAATAATAATAAAAATTTAAAATTAAAATAATAATAAAAAAAATAATCCAGGTTTCCAGGTTTTAAAAAATACAAAAGTTCTGAAAAATGTATCATAGTCTCAGCCAATTGGCAATGTATGTTCTTTATTGGTTATTTTCAGTGACTGTTCATTGTTGTGTAGCACTTCTGGGTATTTCAAAATTAATTTATCTGTGGTCTAGTTTATAAATAATTTCTGTCTGTTGAGGGCTGCACATGCTGTCTGAAAACATATTATCTATTCTAGCTGATATTCTCTGAAACAAAGTGTGCGTCCTTGAGATAACATGAAGAAACAGATAGTACACAACTAGAAGTCATTTCAGAAGCATTCAGTGTAACTCAAGCATGTGTGTAGAATGTGTCACTGAGGAGAGCTTGTTAAATTTAGTTGGGTGACGTTGGGAGCAGTTCCATGTTTACAGGACTTACAGAGAGATTATTCTATAGAGGAAACTTAGAGAATGTGCAAAAGAGATTGTGCACAGATCATACTGGTTGGGCAGAAACATGACATGCCTCAATGATATAAAAGCCAACTGCTCTCCCTGACATTTAACACTTTATAGAAATGACAAAACTCATTAACCGTGGAAGTCATAAGCTCATAAGCTTGCAATGCTCCACTTTGGGAGTTGTACTTCACAAGGCCAGATAACAGAACGAAAACAAAGCAGGAATAAGAAAAGTCTTAGTCATGCTCTAGAAATCCTTAAGACAATTTAAGAAGTCTTTCTCATTCTGAAAATGTGATAGTCGAACATTTTGATTTTTTTTTTAGTCACTGTGACTGGTATGTATAGTAAGTGATATACAGTCAGCCGCTCATTATGGCAAAATAAAGAGTTTTTATGATCTTGTATCACCTTGAAGTGACTTATTTTGTGATAACGACTGTCCGACTGTACATTATCCCAATTATTACATAGCTAATTAATGGAAATTGTTTCATTAGCTTACTTAGAAAGCACGGAAACACAAGCACAGCTTTGTAGGAAACAGGTTTCTCGGATAAGCGATCAGTTGCCATTGGCAACAGCCTTTATTCAGAATTATCTGACCACTAAACTGATCAATCAGAATCAAGTATTCCGGAGAACCGTGTTATAAAGACAATTACACTATGGCACTAAGCTTTCAGTTTCTCTAAAAGCCTTTATTAACCTAGTCTGTCTCCTGCAGCGCTCTATTTTAGGTGTGTCAGAATGTACTTGATACTACTTAGTGTGTGTGTGTGTTCTCACCTCTACCGATGGACACCCCTTTCTGCAGCACACAGATGTAGAGTTGCAGTGTGAGCTGGGGTGCTGAGCCCAGGAAGGCCTGTATGACCGATGTCCTGGCAAAAGCGGCCCTGTGGGTGACTAACTTCCCTTCTGCCTGGCCCACTTCCTGCTCTACCTCCTCGGTCTGCCCTTCCCGGGGCATCTGCTTCTTACGGGTGATGGTGACATACGGCTCCTCCACCTTTCCGGCACTGCCATAGATACAGAAGGCATCCAAGCACCTAAAGGAATAAAACCGAGTTTTATTGCTTGAATATATGAGTGGCCAAGGTTTAAAAAAAAAAATATATATATATATATATATGTGTGTGTGTGTGTGTGTGTGTTCTAAAACAAATTTATATTTAAATGTGGATTATTTGCTCGATACATTTTTATTATAGTTAAAATAACATATCGCCATTGGTTATATTTTATTAATAAAATAAAATAAAAATAGTTCTGTACCTTTAAAAATGATAGTCAAAAGACACAACTGCATTGCCTTTGGTTATTTATAACATATGTGACCCAGGACCACAACACCAGTCATAAGGGTCAATTTTGTGAAATTGAGATTTGCTAAAAGCTGAATAATTAAGTTTTCCATTGATGTATGGTTTGTTAGAACAGGACAATATTTAGTTGAGATACAACTATTTGAAAATCTAGTCCTTAAAATGAAGTCCTTAGCAATGCATATTACTAAACAACAATTATGTTTTTTATGTTTACGGTAGGAAAAGTACAAAATATATTCATGGAACATGATCTTTACTTAATATCCTAATGATTTTTGGCATAAAAGAAAAATAGATCATTTTGACCCATACAATGTTTTTTTGCCTATTGCCACAAATATATCCATGCTACTTAAGACCGGTTTTGTGGTCCAGGGTCCCATATATTGCCTTGGGAAATAAAATAAAATAAAATAAAAATTGTTCTATACTTTTTTAAAAGTATAGTTGAAAGAAATAACATAATATTGCATTTGGTCATTTTTATTATTAAAAATAATGATATTAGGGGGTCACTGGATTGGCTGCAAATGTCCTATAAATGTTGGATTCTAATTATATTCACCCTCCATGTCACAATAGACCATGTCACAGTTCAGAGAACTGCACTCAACCCAGTGAGAGCTCAAAAGCATAGTTCTAGCTTACCCGAGGACAGCTTTTGTAAGGCCTCAGTGGGCGATCTGTCCATCTCATTCATTTAAAATGCAGAGGCTAGGTCTCACAGGACAGGTAGTAGGTGCCAAACATTGAGTGAGTATTTCCTATCCCAAACCTTGACAACAGCCTTGCTATTTTACAATAATAGGGTGCAGGCAACCTTGATGATAATTTGACAGATGACAGTGTGTTAAGAGAAGGCCAAGAGAGCCTTTACAGGCCATTCACACTAATTCAGTGAAATAAACAACTGAATTATACATGAATCACACAGGTCTGAAACATTGCTGGGCTTTATCTGAATGAGCTGGCCCAGGTTATGTTGCTAAACTGTACTATTAGAAAAGGCCATATCAATGCTTCAATCGATCAATGCAAAAACACACAGAGACTGATAGAGATGGAACAGTTTACTGTGAGGCCTGGACTGGAATAGAAAGGAAACTGTCAATAACACATTAATAGATGATTTGAGGACAAAAATTGTCCATAAATGGCTTGTGTAATATATATACACACACATATATATAATGTAATCTATTATTTATATTCCCATTATGTGATATATCCCAGCTAACATCATTTTTAAGACATTACAAGAACACAAGAACAGAGAACATAATAATTGGTTCACAACATAAAATTAAGTATTAAATAAAGAAAGAAAGAAAAATCTTGTGCTAACGGTAGGGGAATGTACTCATTAAATTAAATAATTTAAAAAACATATCATAACATCATCTATACTTCTTGTGAAGTGCCTCTTTTTATTAGCATGAATTTGTACAGTAAATAATTCATTGATGAAAAATGGACATAGTAATATTATAAGCATTAAATTCTGTTTCTAATAAACATACTGTGACAATACATGATATACGATATCATGGCCTTGAGTAAAAAGATAATAACTGCAACTATTATCACTGTCACTTATTTTAAAAGCTATAGGCATATCCAAATACAGCTTATATTTTTTGCCTAATAGAATGTTAACAGCTTACAGAAAATTATTTAAAAGCACCTTATCAGAAATGAAATGTGTGCATTTCATGGAAAGCCCCGGGGACATGAAGCCTTGAGCCCTGAAACCATGAAACCTTTGACATGACTGCGCACTGTGGACTATGAATTAAACGACAAATATTCATAATATTTGTAACAGGTAAAGCACAGGTTCATGTGCGTGCGCAATAATAAGTAAAAAAAAAAAAAAACACCTTCGTTATGTGTATTCGCTCACAATCATGGACATTGTTGATGTCTTCATCCACTACGTAGATGGATAATTCCCTTCCACAGGCTTGTGATAACGAGAACTGCATCCAAATAACGTTACATTGAAGAAGAATCGCAAATTGGCCACTCACCTTATTATTGGCCCAAGTTGTAATATATGAAGCAGCAGCACTAGAGGTCTGTCTCTGCTCAGGTCTCTGTGAATAAAGATCAGTGTGAGCTGCACCAGCACGGATGGCACAAGCGTGAAGAGCAGCGTGAAGCACTGCCAAATCTGATCACCAGCGGAGCGATAAGTGCTGCTCAGATACAGAGCAGCCGTCGTCTCGGCCGTAAACAAAGAGACCGACACAAGGACAGAGCTGGGTAGTCTCATCCTCACTCAACCATGTTGGTTTTCTGCTCTCGGATCTCGTCAGCCAGCATTTTGAAGTTACAGTGGACGTATCAACCACCAGCAGCAGCCGCAAATTCACAGCTTGATCGCCGCGGCGAATAGCGGTCGTCTAACCGGTCGTCTACTCTAGAGGGCGCAATGAGCTCGATATTTATTGTCAGCAACGTGTTTATGTAGTCCAGTGAATCTCAACCTTTTGGCGTACCGGACCCCAGTCCAATTCAGAACCATCCTCAAGGACCCCCAGAACAAAATTGACTCATATCATTTGTGTCTTTGTGAGGACCAAATGCAGTCAAGTATAATTCAAGTTAGCTGACTTGTCCAGTATTTGGCCATATCATCAGCTATATTGGATTTTTCTTTCATGGGAACGTCATGTCAAAATATACAAAAATGTATACTTTAAACGGACCCCCTGGCCTTATGTCAAGGACCACTAGGGGTCCACGGACCCCTGGTTGAGAAACACTGATGTAGTCTACCTGATCACCAGCGGCGTTGAGCCCATTTAGTCCCACATTATAATGCTAAAATTCCTACAAGTGTACCTACAATCCCTGCCGGTACGAGACTCAAACCCACAACCTTGGGTTACGAGTCAGACTCTCTAACCATTAGGCCACGACTTCCCCTATCTTCCGACTTCCCCTAATTCAAACCAGAGTTCTTTTATTTTAGTTTGTTTTAGATAATTATGACTAACTTAAAATTAGGAATCAAATTAAGTTTGTAACCAGCCATTAAACAAAGAAGATTAAATCAGATCAGAGAGAAATTAAAAATATTTGACATCAGAGGTGCTCCTGGGTACGCACGTCAACAGAGCCGCCATCTTGGAAAGGTCTTTTTTTTTTTTTACATTTTGCAAGTAACATCTGAAATTGAAATACAGATTGTTAAAATACAATGACAAATGGAATTAACAATGAGTAAGAACAATTAATTTGTTGTGAGGGATTTAGATTATTAACAAAGACATGTAAACATATAAGTAGGCCTATACAAAAAAAAATGTTTTATTTTTGTTTTGACTCAAGGGAAAAAACACACCTAATAGGCTAATTGTATCTCTAACAGAAGACTCAATGATCTTTTTATTTACACAGGGAATAAGCCACGTTTTAATTCAGAGAAAAATACAATAAAATTTGGATTAGAAGTTGTAACTTTAGACTTGTGGATATGACCTTTTCCAAGCAAGCACACGATTTTAACAGCATTATCTAGAAGAGCAGAACCAGGAGTATGTCTTCTGTAATATCAATAAGGTTATTAAAAGATATAAAAATGTAAATTGAAGGGTGACATATCATGAAAATCTCAAAAAAAAAAAAATTTTTTTTAATTAATGTTTAAGTGCTCAGGTCCCAGGTGCATCTACCAACCAATAAAATGTGAAAAAGAACAACAATCCAGTAAAAAAAAAACAAGAGCCGTTCAGATTTCGCTCCCCCTGTGATGTAGAAAGTATTACCGCCCCTTAATCTGCACATTTCCACCCACAGTGCTGCCATTGTGTTTTTGCAAGTGACAACGGTATACCAGTTCACGCCATGGCGAAAGTTTCGAGCAAAGCATGCTAACTGTTCTGTCTTTGGCTGCACAGACGAGTACAGAACATTATTTAGAGTCCCAGCCTCAGTGGATTTATTGATTTATTTACTGTATATTACACTGCTGCCACACAGATTTAGTATAAACACACAATTTTCTTTCCAGCTGTTTACCTTCACAGACATAACCAACAGCTTTTGTAACTCGTGTGTGTTTTTAACATAAATGTGTGTGTATTTGACAGTTTATGCGCAATAAGACATGAAAGAGATCAGTTTAGTCCTGCCGTGTGCCAGCTGCTTTCAGTGCACGTGATTCGGAAACCATATATCAGAAGTTTAAACTAATATAGTTTAAAACACATGATTTCAGCATGACAGACATGATAATCAAACCCATACAGATGTTTTTTTAGCAGAGTATCTGAGGAACGAGCTGTAAAGGCACATCCCTATTCTGGAAATACTGCTAATAGAAAGTAATGTTCTTCTGATATGAATATTATTGCATATTGAAATTATTTTTTTATCTAACAAATCAGTTCCACATATAATTGAATGGGTAGTTAACAGAACCGGGATTTACAGTTTTAGATAAAATACAATCTAACTTTTCTCAAGTTATGGGATTTTCACAAGCCATCTTGGAAAGGTCAAAAATCACACCTGTTTGAAAGTAGATGATGTATCCGTGCTGTCATATATCAATTTTATATATTTGATAATTTGATAAGGCTGTCATTTGGCTGCATGACATTAATTTTGTAGATAATTGTTTTGTTTTTTTGCTACAAAACGTCGCTGTTTAGTAACAGAAATTTTGTGTCAGGTAGGCCTAAAAAATAATGGCTTATTTACGACACTACACATTTTTATCCACCTTACTTTTCAACGTGGAAGTAGGCTATTTTGTGCGAAGCTTCCGATTCATTAGCCGGTATAGGTGAGGAATAACAAAGAGCCGTAAACAGTAAAACTATTTGCACTACAAGCCAGTGTATGTTTAATTACGATAATAAAGATTATTGTAGCATTTTTTAAATACATATAGTCTGTTGTAACAAATAGGCATTTGTAACATCAACAGGATGAGAGTGCTTTTGTACACCAGAAGTCTTGCACATTCATTCACATTACGTTTACATTTAGTCATTTGGCAGACGCTTTTATCCAAAGCGACCTACAAACGAGGACAATGGAAGCAATCAAAATCAACAAAAGAGCAATAATACGCAAGTACATGCAAAGTTTTTTTTTTATTATATAATAATAAAAAAACAAACAGATAGAATAGAAAAAGAATATAGCAAGCTAGGTTTAGAGGCCTTTTTTTGCTTTTTGTTAATATAATAAATAAAAAGAAATCAAATAGATAGAATACAAAAAGAACAGAGAAGCTACAGTAGTGTTAGTTTTTTCTTTTTAAAGAAAACAAGCATAAATGAATAGAGTGCTTAAGTCTAAAAGGAGCAAGTTTTTTTTAAAGAATAGAATTAGAATAGAGAGTGCTAGAGTTAGAGGGTCAAATAAAGATGGAAGAGATGTGTTTTTAGCCGATTCTTGAAGATGGCTAAGGACTCAGCTGCTCGGATTGAGTTGGGCAGGTCATTCCACCAGGAGGGAACATTTAATTTAAAAGTCTGTGAAAGTGATTTTTACAATAAAGCGTTGTTCACTTGCAGAACGCAAGCTTCTAGAGGGCACATAAGTCTGAAGTAATGAATTTAGGAAAAGGGGTGCAGAGCCAGTGGTGGCTTTGTAGGCAAACATGAATGCCTTTAATTTTATGCGAGCAGCTATTGGTAGCCAGTGCAAATTGATAAACAGAGGTGTGACATGCATTCTTTTTGGCTCATTAAAAATGAATCTTGCAGCCGCGTTCTGGATTAATTGTAGAGGTTTGATAGAACTGGCTGGAAGACCTGCCAAGAGAACATTGCAATAGTCCAGCCTGGACAGAACAAGAGCTTGAACAAGGAGTTGTGAAGCATGTTCCGAAAGAAGGGGCCTGATCTTCTTGATGTTGAATAAAGCAAATCTGCAGGACCAGGCAGTTTTAGCAATGTGGTCTGAGAAAGTCAGCTGATCATCAATCATAACTCCAAGGTTTCTGTTTTTAAAGGAGTTATGGGCGATGTGCCTAACTGAATTGTGAAATTGTGATGAAACGATGGGTTTGCTGGAACCACAAGCAGTTCTGTCTTGGCAAGGTTGAGTTGAAGGTGATAGTCCTTCATCCAAGAAATGTCTGTTAGACAAGCTGAGATGCTTAAACATTACATTACATTCAAGTTTAAAATGTCAGTTCCTGCTCTTACTTGAGAAAAAGGTGGATAGTCTGATGTATTTCAGTGATTTGATGGTTTCTAGCAGGTGAACAGACTTTTCTAAGGGCGAACAGATAGCAGCAAAAGGAAGAGGCAATAATTGCTAAGGAAATACTCATGAAATGAGTGGTCGGATGGAACGAAGAAAGATAGAGTTAACCCTCTACCGCACGCATTATGATAGACCTATAGAAAAAAATATTTGAATCTTTTTCTTTTCTAAGAATGGCTTAACTTGAAGTGCTGTAAAAAAAAATTTTGAAAAAAAAATTATTTTAAGCTTAAAGAGCAAGGAGCAAGGAAATGAACACAAAGAGTATGTTGCCATATGGCTACACCATGCGGTAGAGGGTTTAATATCAAATATCAAGTAAAATATCAAGTTGTATTTCAGTGTATTTTTTTTCTATTCAGCCCAGGTCTAGTGGTGCAAATCACATATGGGACTCCATTTTTGTAGATTACAGTGTATGCAGAATCAAGCTGTAATTTATAACAAACACCAATAGAGGGCGCTTTAGGCACTGATAAAAATTCTGCAGTTTCATTTCATCTTGCATAACACTGCTTACTGCTTCCTTCACTGTCTACCTCTCCCTGTCAGGATCAAGTTTAAAACACTTGTCGTTGCATACAAAGCAGTAAATGGACATCTGCCTACGTACGGTCCATGCCCAGGACCATGACTTGCCCAATTACGCTGACCCCTCCAGCAGGACTGAGTGTTGAATAAATGAATGAATGAATGAATGAATGAGGGATATATAGCGCTTTATTGTGCATTGCTGTACACCCAAAGCACTTTACAATCATATGAGGGGATCTCTCCTCAGCCACCACCAGTGTGCATCATCCACCTGGATAATGCGACGGCAGCCAGTACGACGGCGCCAGTGAACTCACCACACACCAGCTACAGGTGGAGAGGAGAGAGAGTCATATTAGTGGATGAGGATTATTAGGAGGCCGTGATTGATAAGGGCCAGTGGAGGGAATTTGGCCAGGACACCGGGGATACACCTCTACTCTTTATGAGAACTGCCATGGGATTTTTAATGACCACAGAGAGTCAGGACCTCGGTTAACGTCTCATCCGAAGGACGGTGCTTTTTACAGTATAGTGTCCCCATCACTATACTGGGGCATTAGGACCCACACAGACCACAGGGTGAGCACCCAATGCTAGCCTCACCTCTTCCAGCAG